TCTACCTGATCCTTCCCAGTTTCAGCTTCATTTTGAGAGGCTCTGATCACCAGCATCTTTCATGATGGGGCCTTTGTCCGAGAAGGCAGAAACCCCTCCTGGTCTCTCTGAAATCTATGGCGGTTCCTGGGACATTATGGCCCAGGGTAGCCATCTTGTGAAAAACAGCATTGTCAGTGCCAGAGAGCATGAAACTGCTATCATCCAGCCTTAATTGACTTCTGGAAAGCAAGAGGAACAAAAAGCAAACCTTTCTCCCATTAAGGGAGCTGAAGCCCCCTCCCCCAGTGACCATGCCCTACAACTGTATCTCACAGCCAGGAGAATAGATGCCCCTCACTTTAGGATCTAGCATTCCCACAGCTGCAGGACAAAACAGCACTGGGAGAGGGTAGGCCCTTATACAGGTGCACAAGTGGGGAAGCCTCCTTCCCCTCAGGCCCATAGGCAAGGACTAAGCACTATTAATGTGACCTGCGTCCTTAATTATTATATAATTATTAATTATTAATAATGCCCTGAGTCCTTGAGCATGAAAACTGTCTCCCTGGAAATAAAATCCCTCAAGGCACTCCACCTCATCCTGTACACACACACACACACACACTGAGTTACAGAAAAGTCAAGCTGGAAGGGCCCTCCAGAGGTCATCCAGTCCAACCCCCTTCCTGAGGCAGGATCATCCCTATCCAAAGCATCCTATACAAATCCATAATCTAAACTTTTCTTAAAACTACCATCAACCCTGACACAATACAAGATATGACATCCTAACCTGCCACAGGTAAAGCAGGGGGACTACAGCAGCCAATGTCCCGCTTCTTTAAACAGTTGTTAATACATACTTAAGAGGTCCTGAGTAGAGGGCCATGCCCCTTGCTACAAAGGAAGGCAATCCCCTCCGGTCCATACCAATCTGACCATGGGGTAAAATTCCTTCCTGACCCCCAGTACGGCAAATGGTATCACTCTGTGCAGACAGGCAAAGCCCGCTAGCCAGGAACCTCTGACTTTAAGTCCCAGTAGAAGCACTGACATACCCCAGTCAAAATCCCCAGCCTTGGCTGTAGCCAACACCTAATGCCTCTGAGGGAGGGTTAAAAACACCCTGATGTATGTGGCAGAGGAGGACGTCTACACACACACCCCTTGCAAGGAAGGCTGGACACAAAGGTGCATTCCCCAGCATGCAGAGGAGGCCAGGAAGCAGTGAGCTTCCCAGAGCTGCTATTTCTCTGGTGCTCCTACTCAGTGGTGTGCCCAAGTGGCCCACACTGACCTATCCCCATAAACGGATTCAGGCGGGGTGCACGGGGGCGGGGGAGACGGTGTGCTCAGCAACACCCTTCTTCACCTGTGTAGCGCAGTGCTCATGGGCTTGTCGTGTTGTTCTAAAACCCAGGGCATGAATGCTGCTTCTACTCACCCACCCAAATTTGGTGGCAAGGGAAAAGGGGGCAGTAAGCAGTAGCAGGGCTTAGCCTCTGGGTTCCAGTGCCACAGCAAGCCTGCATGGCCTTGCTGTCATGTGGTCTGGCAGCAGCTGCACTAATGAGCCAGGGAGAACAAAGAGCTCACCGTTTGTGCTGCACATCCCACTGGGAGGTATGGTTGCACCCACTTTGAATCTGCCTTAGCCACATCACCCGTCTACACTTGGATGCCCTCTCAAAGCCAAACCCCAACTTTCCAAGGCCCTGGAACACAAGGCCAATTCATTACATCCCAACATGGCAACTCCTGTAAAAACTTTCTACCAAAAAAGAGACAGGAGATGCCTCTGGGACATAGAGCTGCCCCTCAGAGGTGCAAGGTCAGGCTGGCAGTCACCCACTGCCCTCCTGGGCAGTTCCCCATGAGACATGAGCAGTTGATAGAAGCAAGCATTCCTCCTCAGCTTTCTACAATTTGCCTAAACCTTTTGTACTCCTCTCACAGTGAAAAGATGTTTTGCCTGTCTCAGAACCTGACATTGACAGGAAAAAAAGGCCTTCAGCATGACTTGGCGATCGCCTGTCTGTAGGACAAGACCTGGACCACACCGAGTGCACCAGCCTAGGGAGATGCACTCTGAAACGTGTTCTCTTTTTCTGCTTCTGGGTAGTATTTCCTCCAAAAAGGACAGAACTGGATGCAGTCTTCATCTCCTGCCTTGGGGTAGAAAGACTGACCACGCTAAAACAGAATCACATGCGTACAAGGAAGAGCAAAACTTAAAAAGATTACAGAAGTAGTTTGGGAGTCCAGACTCCTGGATTCTAGTCCCAGCTCTGCAAGCGAGTGTGTGTAGCCTTAGCTTAGTCACTTAATCTCAGTTTCCCTTTCTGTAAAATAGGATAGTAACATCTTGCAAAGGGATCACAAGGCTGAAAGGACTGGTTCAATAAAATGCTCTGAGATCTTCACATTAAAGGTTCTAGGTAGGCAGAGTATTATTTTTATTAGCAAAGGCTTACGGCCCAGAACTGTATGAGCAGGAATCCATGTCATAGTAACACTAACACATACACACACTACTAGTTCAATCTAGAGACACATATAGAATTTGAGACCCTCTTGATTTCATGAGTGGCTCTACCATCCATTTATCATGTTTCCCCTTCACATGACAAGACTCCATGAGCTTTCCTAACTTCTAAATTAGGCTCTTTTAGGTCAGCTCAAAGTCAGATAAAACACACTGAGGTGAAAGAGCAATATCCCTCTTTTAAGCTGGTGTCAATCACTCCACAAGATACACAGCAGTGGAGAATCAGGCTCATCATACACATCATACCTGGAGAGCCATGGCAACACAGAATGGTCTTTCAAGGTCAGAGACTGTAAAAGGATGAAAAGGGCTGTATGGAAGGCCTAATGTGGGGGGCATGGACACAAATGTCTCTCTCCTTGTTCACCCCATCTCACTGATCCTGTGAGCCCTATGAATTTTCTAGGTAAAGAGAGGAAGGTGTTGCTATCTTTTCTATCCCTAAACCCATGTACCTTAGTGCACAGATCCCTAGATTCACTGGATGAAACCCTCAGAAGGGACATGCAGAGAATACTGAGGCTTCCTCAGGCTTGGGGAGGTTTTTTTCATTTGCCACCAAGGAAGAAGTTTGTCAATTCTACTCCAGCCAAAGTGAGTGGCTGCAGACCTATATAAGGCTCTCCTTCCCTCCAGTCCTCACCCTTCCCCAAGCTCTCCATTTTGTCCATTTGCAAGACAGCTGGCTAGCATACTAACTAGGAAGAGGCTACAGGAGTTTCTTTCTACCGAGGACAATTATATTTGGTGCCCCGAATAGACATTTTTAAGAGGAAATGCTTTGGAGGGCATCTTGAGCGATACAGCAGGCCTCAAAGGTACCAAAAATCTACCCAAGCACAGAAAGCTACCTCAGAAAGATTTATTTGATTAGGCGAGCCATCCCTATAGATACAGCCCAACTTGTCAAGTCTGGTGGCTCCAAGAGCTGCACCGTTCCCTTGTGCTGATCAGAAGCCTTTACACCCTTCCTAAAAGGACACTAACAGCTACCCCAGAGAAGCCTCCTAGCTGTACAGCAAGCAGCAGCAGCAATGAATGACTTCTGTTTGGGGGGCCATGCAGCAGGGCTGTGGCACAGGAAACTACAATGCAGTGGCCCTGCACCAGTGCTGTGGTAGAGGGGCAGCTGTCTGAGCTTCAGGTCCCTTCACAGCAGCTATATGCACCCCTTTTTAAGTGGCCCTGGCTGAGTTTTGCAGGAGCTCAGAATCACCAGGTCACAGGCCTGCCCCTAGCCAGACCAGAACACCAATATATGAGCCTCTTGTAGAAGCAGCACAGAGCTGCTGGATCTGCCTCTGCATCTTGGTGGTAGGGAGCATTATGCCTGCAATGTGGCCCCACTGCACCAGCCTAGCTGAAAAAGTCCCACCGTGACTAATGCTGTCATCATTCCACACAAGCCACCAGCAGATGAAAGCACTGGGAGTGTCTGCAGCACAACTTTAGTCATTACTATAGTTGCAAGGTGCCTTCCACTTCCACAGTGGTTTGAGTTCAAACACTGCACCTTCTTTGCCTCTTCTTTCTGACCTCGCTGATCCTTCTGGGAGGGCTTATCTAGATCAAACCTCCCCTCTGTCTTCCTGTGAACCCAGAGTCCATTTCAGGTGGGCAACAAAATCCAGCTCAGGTTCCTTCCACAGAGCTGTATTCACATTCTCGCTTCAAAAGGGATATGAATCCATTTTGGGTTCTTCCTCCTTCCAAGGCTGCACCCAAAATCCATTCCAGGAGGGCACAGAAATCGTATCCCAAGTCTTCTCTTCCTTCATGTTACAAGTGCGTTGGCCAAAAGACCAAACTTTCCTGAGTATCATAAACTGCTAGACTGTCATGGCCTGGCTGTGGTTGTCAGAAATGGAAAGAGGCAAGTCCTGGACATGGAATTATAATAAGTCTAAGAGGACTAGCTGCCACAGTATAATATTGAAAGAAACCTGGACACAACTCCACCCTCCATATGCATGAGGTCTAACACTGTTAGGTCTTTCCCATTTCCCCACTTCCAGAGACAACACAAACATCTTTTGAAAAAGGGATCTTGCCCTTCAAGCCCACAAACCCCAGTGCTTCATCCCTGTCATTAACTGGTACCCTCAGATCCAAAGAGCATATAGACTCTGTGAACAGGCTGGCACTGCTCTCTCTCCAACAGTTTTAATGTACTTGATTACAAGAGCTGTTGACACACCATTGAGCTGAGGGATTAGAATATAAAAATAAACACACACACACATCTCTGGTGCCACTGCCTGTGAACAGAAGGCAGGGTGGAAAGTGTCCGGGAGGGTGGGTAGGTCACACTTCAGTCTCATGCATGTACCTTGTGTTTGTAGCTGTGTGCGTGCGTGGCATACCCGTGTGACCAGCTTGGTGCATGTTAGTGTCTTTCTGATTAGAGGTGTGTGTGCACACACGTGCGTGCAAGTCTCCATAATCAAAACCAGCTGTTGTTCCCTAGAGTTCTGGGGTCTGGGTGGGAGCCAGGGGGGCTCGTCCTTTGAAGAAAACTCTGGGATAACTCCGAAGAAGGTTTCCAGAAGCTGCAGGAGGAAAAAAGGAAGGTGGAAGTGAGGGGGTGGAAAAAAGAAGCCACTATTATTACAACCACAGTTCTTAGCCATTTATCAAACTCTTCCCCTGACAATGGAAACCAATGCCACTCAAATCAGTTTGCAAAATCCACATCAGTCTTAGTCACACAACAAGAAACCAGAGGCCTGGGGGAATGCATGCATGCACAGCTCTACAACAGCAACAACTGCAGCTGATCATGAGCACCTTCAGCACCATGTGCCATTAGGCCCAGTTCTTGTCGCTTTGCCCCTCTGTGCCTTCTTTTTTCAGACTAGCACAAAAAGGGTGTAAAATGCTTTCTGGGAACTATAAACCCCCAAGGCAAGCTGTGCAAATATAAACAGTCACATTAGGTGCATAAGGATGAATGGGGCAAGGCCTAGTGGGCAAAACACCAATGCCCGCTAACAAGTTAGCCTGAGTAGTTCAAGCCCCCGCAAGCTTCGCTCAGTCACAAACCAGAACAAATGCAAAATGGAAGGGAAGTCATAGGGTTTTGGTAAGAAAGCTGAATTCAGTTTCCTAGGAACTATTCTAGGCAGAAGTACATGGGTGAAATGTCTGAAAATTATGCAAAATCTTTGGATTGTGTATTTTAAACAAGCCATCTGAATGTTACCAAGGCCCCTCTCAGACAGCTGGTGAAAGGTATTTTCTCTATTGGATTATCACTGTTTATACTGCTCTTAGCCAATTTTATTTCCTGATGTGCCATAGTGTGGATTGGTTTGTCCCCTTTCACATGACTAAATTCAAGCTGGGAGTCAGAGGATAAAACAAGAGAATAATTTGCCTCTCAACAGCACTTCTAACACTAAAGGATCCCAAAGCCTCTTTACAAACTACAGGTTGAAGAATATCACATACCATTGAAACTTAGTAGGTTTGTAACACCACACAGTTGTTCCATCCCAGTTTAGAAAAAGGAAATGAAACTACGTGTTACACAAAGGGGGAATTTAGGAAGGCAGTGTGTAGGCTGCCGAGGAAGCTGACATTAGGACCCTCTGAAAGGGAAAGCCCCAGGGGATCTCTAATGATGACAGACAGGAACTCAATGATATGTTGCTTGAGATGATGGCACCCAGGAAACACAGCACACTGTGTTTGTGTGAATCTCCTTTGTTTTCTATTGCTAATTGTTATGAAGATTATTACATAGCAGAGGGTTCCCTGGTTTTCTACTGCTAATTGTTATGCAAATTGTTATGCAGCAGAGAGTTCCCAAACTGTAGCACTGTTGATGTACAGAGCATGTGCAGGTGAGCTCTGAATGTGAAGCTGGCTGGACAGAAGGTACTGCTTCTGCTCCTTATTTCCAGCTAAATAGTATTAAGGGGTTTTTAGCTTTCAGTAAATATTTTCCAAATGCAACCCTTCCCCATAAGGCAAGATCATCCCTATGCAAACCATCCCATACAAGTCCTTGTCTAACCTATTCCTATAACCAGGGTTCGAATTACAGGGGGAGTTCAGGGGGGCTAAGCCCCCTTACCCCCATAAGAGACTAGAGCCCTCCTCGCAGGCTGGTCAGCCCTCCTTCCCCCTCACTCCCCCACAACAGCCCAGAGCCCATGTGCCACTGCGCACAGCCCCTGGCCCACCCCACACTTTTCTAAGCAGCCCAGGAGGTGGCAGCTCCTTTCCGCTGCCACTGCCACTAGCCCCAGCCCCGCAGTACTGGTGGAGACCCGTGCAAACAACCCCAACCCTGGCCAATTTTTTTTGCAGACCACCTCCCGCCCCCCCAAGTGTAATTCAAACCTGGCCTAAACCTATGTATAAACCCTGCTACACAACTACAAGACATTGTGCCCAAAGACACCAAAAGCACCTCAAGCTGCCACCAATAAAGCAGGGGGATGAGGACAGTCAGTGTCCTGCCACTGCAAGGGTTGTTAAAATGCATGCAAGAGATGCAAGAAAGAGGACCATACCTCCACTACAGAAGAAGGTAACCCCCGCCCCCACTTTCTGTGGCTGAGAATGGCAGAGGAGGTGGTTTATTCTCTGGTGGGTGAGCAGGGTGGTGATCTGTACAAATGTGAATGAGGGAGGAGGCCTCCATGAAATAACCCCTATATGAGGATGAGCCATGAGCTTTAAATGCTTTAAGAAACCTCACCTCCAGGCTAAGACATTGCTTCAGGACTGGCTGGTATGCCCAACCCCTGCAATTTCTGGACTTCCCTTGCAAGTTTCCAATCTGAGTATTGACACAGCTTATTAGCTTGTGAGACCCGGCAAGTCCAAAGCCTGAGACTGCTCAGCATGCAGCAGGTTTTAGTGGGGCTGTATAAAGTGGAAGGTAATATTGGTGGCCCCACCAAGCCACACGCACAATATTTGTTTTTTTCTGGTGTAGAGGGGAGAACTGAAAGGTTCTGTTCAAAAAGCTGGGAGATTTTTCCTGCCTATTAAGATGTGAGGTCTCATGAAAATGTTTTACCGAGAGGACTCTCTGGATGGCTGGAGTTCTGATATCCTTCCAGCATAAGGATAGCCTAAAAGTCAAACCTGATTTGAAAGATGAAGCAATTTTCATTTATGCTGGGTAAAACTCAGATTTTACTTATGTTTGCTTACATCTACTTAATTCAGATGTCTGGCAGTGAAACATAAAAGGCTATTATTGTTATTATTTGTAAAAGATGCAGTATGTCTGCCACTTCAAGTCAGGACTGGGAAACTCCAAGTCCTCCAACAAAACCTGAGGAGACAAGACTTAACATAACTGAGATTTAAAACTTAAACATGAATCAATAAATTTAAAAAACAAGCAAGGAAGCCCACCCACCCCTGTATATATACACATACACAAAATCCTTGTAGGTCTCTATCTATGAGAAAGAAAACAGGAGTACTCCCTTCATCCTAAATGAGGCTCTTCTTTTTGGCAGGTTATGTTTCTGTTTCCCAAATAGGCCCATCTTAATTTGGCAGATATGGGAGCCTTGTATGAAGGGGAAGGAGGAAGCATTTAACCTAGAGTTAAAGCAAGCCTGCATAACAGAGGAAGAGTTTGGTCTTGCCACTGAGCCTCTGTTGTTTTCAGGCTGTTTTCTCCGAATGGTGAGTGAGAAGACTGGGCCAGAAGCCTCCCCCTTCCCCATACACACATCTTCTTTAAATAGAAACAGCCATCTGATCTCCAGAGATTATTTCAGCTACAGGCCTCTGAAAAGACTATCCCATCCCTGTCAGAGTGGAGCAGCTTGCAGCTAGATCACAATGAGCAAATGCCAGGACTAGCACTGAATGCAGCGCCCTGGTTGAGATAGCCAGGTTGGCTTCCAGAGCCCAGGAAAACACACCTTGGAGCCCAAAGCGTGAGAGCTGGAAGGCAGAGCTGAGCCCCTGCAGTGCAGCAATGACTGTGATAGCAGTGACTGGCTATTGCCTGGTGTATTTAGCAATGGGAAGCCAAGAGCAACTGTCACAGCACTGACGGCAATCAGCATGAGGGACTACAACCGGAGAGCGGCAGTGAGCTAAATGTAGCTCAGCCTGGAATTCAACCCTTGACCCTGGATCTCAAGCACAACCTATCCTGGCAGCTATTTTTGTTCAGAAATCTGTCCTAGTCCCCTCGGATTTGCACAGATCCCAGCGTCTCTTCCTCTGAGGAAGGAAGGGATGGGTGAGGGGAAGGAGCCCCAGAGGAGAGAGCCCCTTACTCTCATGCACCAGCAGTGGTCAGGAGGCAGGGGGAAGCACACCATGTTCCTTTAACAGGATGTACCCAGGGGAATCTGGGACATGCTGAAAGCCCTGCTCCTTTCGTCAGCTCACACAGGAATGTTTAAACATAATGGCTGCTGGCACAAGGAAGCCTTGGCCATACCTTCTTACTCTGGCTGTGTACAGTCTTGGCAGAAGCAAGGAGACACAGCTTGTGCCGCCTCAGAGGAGGGGCTGGTGGCCCAGGGAGAGTGGAGTCAAAGGAGGCTTAGAGCCATCCTTGCGCCGCTTGCATGCTGCACTGGCTGGGTATCAGGCAGCCCCCAAAGTCAGCAACCCTGATAGATTGCCTGGTCCAGCTCTGCAGCCTGGAGCAGCCCATAGCACTCAGTGAAGCCCCGCACCCTTCTACAGCCAGCCAGCAGGCCCCCCAAATGCCAGAGGTTTCTGGGGGCTAGCCTTGCACTGGGGGAATTCTCCTCTGTACTGCTTGTGACACCTTTACATCTCCTGTATATCACTGGGTAAGGGCCAAAATCAACACACCGGCTTTCTATAAACAGTCCATCCGTGCCCCAAACTCTGGGCTGGTATTTGGCTAATTTACCTTGAAATGTCACCCTGCTCCACAAGAGGAAACACCATAAGTTCCCAGCCCCAACATGTCTGTGAGCACAATGGTGCCAAGTCAATCCTTCTCATAGCCCACTCACTAAGTGAGAAATCATGACTAATGCCATCAACTTGGTGATGATTAAACATTGATTGATGATCTCCCAGTCTTTCAGAGCAGCAGCTTGATGGCTGTTTCCGAGGCCAAGAAACACACCAACATAAGTCAGGAGTAATGCTGCTGAAATCAGCGGAGCTACCAGGGATTAAGCTAATGCAAGGGCAGGACCAGATGCTACAGACCAAAGTCTGCCCCTGGTGACCCCCATGCAAAGCTGTGGAAGTCAGTGGGGCTATTCACTGGGAGCATAACAAGGAATTCAGGCTGCATGGTTAACAGGAGCCACAGGGGACTCAAGGGGTCCCTGGGGAAGCCTAGTGTTGGCACTTCCAAGCTCCCTATATGTTCAAAAGCACCCATGCTCCACTATTATGTATAGGGACCGCTGTAATTTGGGCTTCAGGGGCAAGACCAAAATTCAGCATTTCCTCCGAAGCCCCTAAAACTACAATTTGGCTGAAAATGGCCTGAAACTGTGGGAGAGAAGGAGGGCGGGGGAAAAAGTTAAAAAACTTACCTGAAGCACAGGAAAAAAAGGTAGCAGAGCTCTGGAAACCCCACATATTTCCAAGGGCAGCCTAGTACGGACTGAGCCCCTGCTGGGGGTCAGCCAATCAGGTTGTTTGATTCCCCACTTTGGCAGGGAGTTTAAAAGCCCTGCCCAGAGTGGAGCAGGTAAGTACCCCCTGCCCTAGGGGCTGCAGGCATAGGTATGTCAAGTGCCTGCCTCCACAGTCAGGAATGGGGCGCAGGACACCCCTGCTGCAGGGGCTTCCCCCAACCCAGCATGGGTTTCCCAAGTCCTGTTTTGCTTTGCTGCTCTGCAGGAGTGGGGGGGAGGGGGAATTTCCCCCTACCCCTCTCTTTGCATGGCGGGGCAGAACATGGCTCGGGAGAGCTATGCCAGGTGGAGGTCCCACCATGCCAGGCGATGCCCCTGTGCTGGAGGCACACTGTGCCCTACGCCCAGCTCTGGGGGCAGGCACCTGGCAGGGGTCTCCCAAGTCCTGCTCCGCCCCACTGCACAGAGAAGGGGAGGGTGGAATTCCCCTCCTCTCCCATGTGGCAGTAGAGCAAAGCAGGGCTCAGAAGATCCTGCACCAGGCTGGATGAATTTTTTACTTGTACCAGGTGGCTCTGTTGAGCTTTGATGCTCAGCTGCTCAAGTCCATTCTTGGGGAGAGGAAACCACAAGCTGGAATACCCCACGTACGTAAGAGTGCCAGCTGCTCATGAACAGCTGAAGAACAGCCTCTGTGCTGCTGTTCAATGGTAATCAGCCCCATGGCAGACTCTCTCAGCCAGTCAGGCATGTGGGAGAGCCCACCCTGAAAAACACTGAAATTGGCTCAGGCAAGGCTGCAGGGAGCCTGCTCCCCATCCCCCACAATTCCCCTGTCAGAGCTTGAATTGCAGTGGTCCCTAACCACATATAGCTACTCCTTACTTAATGTCATAGTTACATTTTGAAAAACGCTTTTTTTAAGCAAAACGATGTCAAGCGAATCCAATTACATTACAGTAGTTACCTACTAGCAGACGATGGCTAAACAACGTTGTAACCGAACATTGCACGGCTTTAAACAAGTATGTTCTCTAACAGATCAGCAATGTAATAAGAAAACAACATTAACCAAGACGATGTTAAGTGAGGAGTACCTGTACTCTGCCATATATCACACAGGGCTCCTCCTGAAGGAAATTCTCTTTCCTGTCCTGCTTTGCACTTCTTCAGATTGTTTTGAAATGTGGGTCTCCTCCCCTCCTCCTCCTGCATCAGCTTTGTGGCATGATTCAACATGTCCTCCTTCCATATTACTCTGCTTGTTCTAAGATTTCCTCAGCTCTAAAGATGCTGTAACCTGACTGAACAATTTCCAGGGCGACCATGGCTACCAAAGCCCGGAGTGTCATTTTAACCTAAGCTCCTCAGGAAAATTACACTAAGAAATTCCCCTGGGTGCATGTGCCAGGTGCAACACGCATCATGAGATTCTCAGGGAGACGTGCCCCCCAGAATGCTGTAGCGAGGAAAATTTCACAGCCACCATCAGACTTTCACTGACGCCGAGCGCCACACAGTGATCTATTTTTGACTAGTAAAAGGATATTTGAGAGATTTGGGGTTCCCCACTTATTTCAGCTCTATTGGACCTAGCATCCTGTGTGGGTGACATTAACAAGGGTAGGAAGGAGGGAGTTGCAGGCACTGATAGGTTATCTTGTCTATTTAACCGAAGGGGCAGCTGGTACCTAAAAAGGCTTCCCAACCCATGAGGGCTGAGTGGAGGACACTGGGATCTGTGCCCTTTACCCAGTCTTCATGGAGCCCAACCAACCCCCTACCCCTTTAGCAAATTAGATTGGCAGATGTTAGCTCACCACTCCCCCTAGGCAGCGTTAGTGCTAAGCTTTGCATAGACAGTTAGATCATTCACCACCTCCAAGGTGCAGAGACATGCACATGAGTGTTTCCTTCCACAGGCAAGTGAGTACTTACACAGGAATCCTACACAGGGTGACGTGTGCCCATGTTAGAAGTGCCCTCACTTCATATACTCCCCTTCGCTCACATAGTCCATAAAAGACCCTGGCAACTCAGCAAAATCTTCCAACACAAGACTGGTAGAGTCCTCACCCAGCAGGTCACTGTCAGGCCGGCCTGCCTTGGGGTGGGCAGGAGGAGCAGAAGCAGGAGCAGAGGGAGGAGGTGGTGGAGGGGCTGAGGCAGCTGTTTGGACAAAGGTGGGTAAAGGACGAGGGGGGACTGGTGGCTCATCACACTCTTCCAGTTCCTTCTCCAGCTCTGTGGAGGCTGGTCCCAAGACGTGGTAGAGGCTGGGCAGGCGAATGTCAAAGCGCAGGCCAAACTTTGCAAAGAGTTTGTCATTGAGGGCATAGAGCTTCTCCGAAATGTCACAGCCAAGGTGGGATGAGAAGAGACGGGCAATGTAGCGATCCTTCCTCAGGAGAAGGTACAGCCTCTTCCGTGGCCATGACACATAACTGCAGTCAGTCTCTGCTGTCAAGGTGACCTACAAGGGGCAAGGGGGAAGGAAGGGACGAGAACATGATGGACAGAACTGCTCAGCTATGGGGCTTTTGCCTTAAAGTGGGGCTCTATCCTGAAAGGGAACCACTACCTATTCTTTGCTCATGCCCCTGCCCCCACCCGCATGTCCCGCCATGTGTTGGACAGTCGGATCTGCTGATCTCAGTGCCTAAAATGGTGGCTTTCACTTCTGTTCACCCTACAGAGCCAAGGCATCTCACAGCTAGAATTGTAAACTACATTCTATTTAGAGAGGCACTTCTGCCCCCCTCTCTTCAAACTGTACCCCCATTTGTGCCTGCACAAGGCCACTGAAAAGACCAGGAGAGAAGTACAGGTATCAGTGAAAGCCTGGCTTCCTGCAGGACTTTTGTCACTAGGGTTGGGAACTGATTTCAATGGGGAGTTTGACCTATAAAAGGTTGTGGGCCAGTCTTTCCCTGCACACCATTGTGATGGGCTGCCCCTCTTGAGCTGGGCTCCAGGCGTGCATGGTTTAAGAATGCCTGGGGACTGGAAAGCAAAAAACTTTTCCTCTTGGGCGTGACCCAACTTCTCAGCTCTAATAGAAGCAGCAGCTGCTGCTGTGCAAAAGTCTACTGGATTTCCTGACAATGTGGTCTAGTCTTATTTTCATGCGATATTCCTGATATTACCACTACTGGGGCAGACTATAAACAGCTGCTTAACAATGCTACAATGCTGCACAAAAAGGAAGGATATCACAGGTGGCTGATATTTGAGAGAATGCTGTAATTATGCAAGTAGGAATTGCACCAAGACATTAAAGGTTCAATTTATTTGTTTTTGCAGAAGGGTTCAGGGCAGGGGTAGGCAACCCTCAGCATGCATGCCAGAGTGTTGCACGCAAAGGCATTTTGCTTGGCATGCATGCCTCCAGGCGGAGGGCATGGAAGGTGCCAGGGCTGCAGCTGCACTGCTACAAGGGTCAGGCCCTTGTGGCTCCCCTGCCATCTGCCCATCTTACAAATCAAAGTTGTGGTTGTTTTTGGCACTCTGCCCAAAAACTTGCTGACCCCTGCTTCAGGGTGGGTTTTTTCCCCTCTTAGATCTTGCCAAGAGAAAGCCAGTGTCTTCTCCAGCAAGAGTTATTCAGAAACTCATCAATAAATTAAACTGTCTTTGGTTGGAGCAAAGCAAAGCAGGTCAGAGAGTAACTGAGATGCAGGTATGAGAACAGTGCCATTCAGACCATACTGTAGGGACTCCCCATACATCCAAGTATCTCCTTACCAGGGGACCCCAGGAGGGGTTGCTTGGAAGCCAAACATGGCTCAGGTTGCACCCATGTGCCCTTGAGTTTGATACTGAATGCCCTGCAGGCAGCTGCCTTGTGAGACACGGGAACTAGAACATGAGAACTTCCCCAAGACGGGTTGCGAGTGACTCAGGGTCATGCCAAAACCTAAAAAGGCCAGGCCAGGCCAGAATCTTCCCGACAGGCTTTTGCAAGGAATTGAAACTGCCCCAGCAAATCTCATCTTTTGCTCACAGCTAACAAAGAGAAATATGATACCCAGCTCAGCAACACACTCATTACCATCTCTCTCTCTGTGCACCATCAGCTCTTACAGCTCAGGCCTCTTACAAGAAGAGTAACCATGTAACCCAACCCAGTTCAGCCCCTGCGAGCCTGCCAGCTGCTGTGCAATCCAGGTCAGAATGCGGGCATTAGCCTGAGCCCATTACCATCAGCCTTTTACCCTTCTCCAACATACAGAGAATGGAGCAGTAGGGCTGGAGTGCTGTTGTAGCTATCAGGGTGTCCTTCCTGATGCCTGGAAGCTTTGCTTGTCCAACAGCTCTCCCAATTGTACAGTTGAATGGGCTACTAGCATGGAGCCAGCCATGGGCAGATCTAAGGATTTTGGAAAGTGGGGTATCGGAGCAGCAACTTCTGCTGCAGGGGTGGCTGCAGCACCTGCTCCTGTCCCACCCCCCACACCAGGGTGGGCAGACCATGCTGCTTGTAAAGCAGTAGGGGACTTTTTTAAGGTCCTCAAGCAGGTAAAAATCTCCCCTCCCTCCCTTCCCCTTCATGATCAGTGGCACATTCCCTCTGCTCCCCCTTTACTCCCCCCACTCCCCGCTGCTATCCCCAAACGATATGGAGGGGGTTGCAGTTCCAGAGCCATTACTGCTTCACTCCAGCTGAGCTGCACATGGAGCTAGGCTCATTTAGAGAAAGCAGCAGCAACAGGCAGGTTCCCTTCTTGTACAACTGCTCCTGGGCTGGCAGGGCAGGAAGGAAGGACCTGCCTACTGCTGTCACTGTGCACAGCTAAGCCTGAGCAGGAAAAGCTCTGGAGCCCCCCCGCAAATCCATTGGACAGCAAGAGACAATAGCAGTGGTGGGCAAGGGAGAGGATGGAAGGCAGGTGCCACTGAGTAGAGGGGAAAGACTTGCTTTAGGGAATGGAAAAAAATGTCCCCAGCTGCTGCTCCCACAGCATGGCTGACTGAAAGGGGTGCATCCACACCACTGCACCCTCACTGGATTCACTCCTGGAGCCAACTAAGCACAGCTGTTGAAGTACCTTCCTTCCACAAACACACTAATTTCCCAGAAATTGCCCAGTTAGATTTTCAACCTCCGGGAGGTTGCTCTTAGCTGACTATGGGACTTGAGACAATCCATTTCCTTCTCTGTACCCTGGTTCCCCCATTTGTAGAATGGCAATGAGTCTGTCCCACCTTCTAGGGTAGTCACAAGGCTGACTGCACTGCTTGTCAAGTCCTCTCATTTCTTCCTCAGGGAGAACTCTTCAGAGGGCACAATGTGGCCCCCATCAGCTATCCCCTTCCTCACAAGCCATGAGCTATGAGTTACCAAACCTGCTGTAATCCCTGGAATGATTCCCCTTGTGATCCACCAAGCCTAAGTTTGTCAGTGGCAGCTGATTCATCTTTCAAAGTAACCTCAGCCATGCTCTCTCTCTCAGTAGGAGGTGGAGGAGGCCACATTTACACCTGAGAAAGCAGAAAGCACCATTTACACCAGGTCTGAAGTTGGCTCCCTATGCAATGTATTATCTTGCAATAACCCAAATTGCACTCAGGCAATTAGTGAACTCCCTTCTCTCTGCTATATTTTAGATAGTGGCCATTAATCTCCTGACAAGAATTAGTCAACCCCAGATAGCAGAGAGAGGGGCTGATCCAGCATTTTAACAACCCTCCTCCAGAATAGGAAGTACTCAAGTACTATGGGGTTAAGAGCCCAAAACAGGCAGCCTCAGGAATACAATTGCTTCAAACAACACTGAGCAATCTGGCACCAGAAGAGCCTCTGATCCTTCTAGGAGGGACATCTACACTTGAACCTAGCTGGATGCAGGTATGAATCACCCTCACTGTTCTGGGGCCATGCAACTTAATAGTGCAGATATTACACAGCATATGGAAACAGAGCAATGACTCCAGTTTCCCAGCTACACCAATGGCCCTTACGGTATCCTGTAGCCAGCTGAAGACTGAACACTTCAAAAGAAGGAAGAAACAGGTTAATGCATCGGATGACAGTACCAGTCCATATGATTTGCTATGGGTTGGTGGACTAACAATTCGCGCTCCCTGCCCTCACCTCCCTCTCCCATACATGTGCAGAACAAGGAAGAGCAAGTCTGAGCAGCTCTGGAACAGTCAAGGGGTTACCTGGAAGGTTCCTTCCTCAGAGGGCCGCAGCGACTCCCACTCAGGGGAGTCCATGAACTGGTAGGGGAAGATGTAATGCAGAAACTGTCCATCCTGGCTCACTCTGACCCTGGAGAAAGAGAATGGGTGACAGACTTAAGCCAGAAAAAGGCCAGTGCAAGCCATACATAACCCATTCAGATTTAGGCCAAAACATTTAACACCCGTTTCTTTCCACCTCTTCTTCAGGCCTTCCAACCCAACAATATTTTTTTCTTGTTGCCCTTTTTCTGGTCGCTTCAAGCTATCCATGACTTTCTTCTACTGCAATGCCTAACTGAAGAGGTGGACACAGAGGAGCCACTGCCTCCACAGCAAGAAATCTTCATCACAGGAGCCTAAAACTGCATGGGGTTGTTGTTGTTGTCCATGTGGCTCCCTGAACACCCATGGTTTGCTTTGACTTCTTGTGGCCTCACTGCCCCTTCTGAGTATCCCTTTTCCCTATGGCTGCTACAGTTGTCTAGCAACATCAAGGTGAGACATGACCAACACTGGTTCAGGTCTATGGGTCTCAAGCAAAGAAGAGACTCAGTGTCTGAGAAATGGGGACCTCTTTGCTCTTAGCTGATTATGGGACCATCCATTTCCTTCTCTGTACCCTGGTTTCCCCTTTTGTAGAATGGCAATGAGTCTGTCCCATCTTCTAGGGTAGTCACAAGGCTGGCTGCATTGCTTGTCAAGTATTTTGAGGTTTCTCAACTCAAGGCGTCAGGGAAGGACAAAATATTGTTTGCTCAGCTTTCTAATCTGAATGAAACTCAACCTGTGGAAGCCTCCCTCCTGCTCCTTTTAGGCTATTGTTCATACAAAACCCTGAAATAGCCTATAAAAAATGCCAAAGCCCTCATACTCCCCTCCTGTGCAACACCATGTAAAAGGAGCAGGGAAATGCTCCACTGTATCCACCCATAATCACAGCATACAGCAAGGTGTGGGGCTGGGAGGGCCAGCAGCAGAACCTCGGATCCCAGTCCCAAACCAGTTGTTACCCCAGTGAAGCTGAGGCTCCCATTGTAGGCTGTCTGGTACATCTAGAAAGAACGTGGGGAAAAATCATAGAATCATAGAAAATGAGGGTTGGAAAGGGCCTCAGGAAGTCATCTAGTCCAACCCCCTAACTCAAGGCAGGACCATCCCCAACTAGATCATCCCAGCCAAAGCTTTGTCTAGCTGAGTCTTAAAACCTCCAAGGATGGAGAGTTCACAACCTCTCTGGGTGACCTGTTCCAGTGCTTCACTACCCTCCTAGTGTGAAAATTCTTCCTAATATCTAACCTTAACTTCCTCTGCTGCAACTTGAGACCATTGCTCCTTGTTCTGTCATCTGCCACCACTAAGAATAGTCCAGCTCCATCCTCTTTTGAACCTCCCTTCAGGCAGCTGAAGGCTGCTATTAAATACCTTCTCACTCTTCTCTTCTCTAGACTAAAAAAGCCCAGTTTCCTCAGCCTCTCCTAAGAAGTCACATCCCCCAGTCCCCTCACTATTTTCATTGTCCTCCACTGGACTCTTTCCAATTTGTCCATATCCTTTCTGTAGTGGGGGGCCCAAAACTGAACACAACACTCCAGATGTGGCCTCACCACTGCTGAATCAAGGGAAATAATCACTTCCAATGACCTGCTGGCAACCCACCTACCAATGCAACCCAGTATGCCTTAACCTTCTTGGCAAGAAGGGCACACTGCTGGTTCGTATTCAGCTTATTGTCCACTGTGATCCTCAAGTCCTTTTCTGCAGAGCTGCTGCCCAGCCAGTCAGCCCCCAGCCTGTATTGGTGCATGGGATTGTTCTATCCTAAGTGCAGGAATTTGCACTTGTCAATGAGTTTTGGCAGTAACCCACTTTGCTGATATCTCCCACCGGATTTTCTCTGTAGGTTTCCTCCCTTTCACAATGGAGAGCCAAGGAGTGGTGGAGCATACGGGCCTCAAGCAGGTTTTATTCCAATAGAACATGTTTTCTACCAGGCCCCCATACACTCTGTATAATCCTAAAATACATGGGACAGGCCTGAACAAAGGCTTAGGAATTAGGGCTCCTGGATTCTCCACTGATTTCCTAGGCCATCATAGGCTTTACCCCTTTGTCTCAGCTTTCCCAGCTATAAAATGAGAGTAATACACAAATATTTTCCAGTGGGAAAGTGCAGTGAAGATTAGTTATATTTTCAAGGAATTGAATAATGCAGAGAGCTGAGTCAGCACTATGAACACCCCACTAGCCAATGGCACCCTCCAGATACAAGGTGCCATTGGAGTGTACAGCACTTATTTGTATTATTATTTGTTATCTGTTGTCACTAGTCCTCTTCAATACATGCTATGTGACAGAGGAAGGTGATGAAGAAAAAACAGTAAGCCATCCACCACACCCATGCTCCCAGGGTGGGGAGAAATCAGGCTAAGAGCTATTAATATTTTATTGTACATGAGCCTAGGGCAGGGGTATCAAACATGGGGCTGGATCATCCAGCCCACCTCCAGGACCTAGATATGGCTCTTGGAGCCTGTTGCTGTGACTGTCTGAGCTGCACTGGTGTGGCTCTGGTTCCCAGAGATTTAGCACTGCCACCACTCACCCTGCCTCCTACCCAGTTGTTATTAGTGACTGAAGTTAGCAGCAGGGAGAAAGTGAGGAAGGTGAATGGCAGCAGGACTAACCCCTGTGTTCTGGAGCCATGTTAACACAGCAGGGTCACAGCCATGTTGACACCACTGCTGACAATTGAAGGTTGTCCAGCCAGCTTCCAAGAAGCCCTACAGTGTGGATCCATCTCACATAGCTAAATCAATTTGACACCCTGGTCTAAGGTGATAAACTAGCACTCAAGCAGATCTTAAGCCTTCAGAAGGCCTGATATCCTTGCCCAAGGAGCAGTGCCCAAGAACAGCATCCCCAAAGAAACGTTCAAGGAGCTGCAGACAGCTGCAATGCCAGGGAATGTTCTTACCTCACTTCTCAACCTTGAACAACTTGCCACCTTGTTTGGATTTGCCTGGTCCCTCATTCCTGGTACTCAAAGGATCCTGGCAAGCTATTTGAGTTCAAAGTGGCTTCCATTTCTGGTCTCTATCCTTCCTCTCCAATTGACTGGATCTTACATGTAGTTGGGTTGGGACCATGAAGTATTTTAGTGTCTCATTTACTTTGCTACACTTCAATTTTTCCAGATGAAAACTACACAGCTAGTATGCTAACATCGGAGATTCCTTCAGTCACTGCAGTACTAGCACATTCCTTTGAGCCATGATGTCCATGAAAGGTTAACTTCAGAGTCTTTCACAGTCACTGCACTAGTGCAAGTAACCACAAACCCAGGTGTGTGAGGGCAATAAACAGCTATGGGGAGGGATTCCCAAACTATGGCCTGTGGATATTCAGTGGTCCACAAGGGCACCACTTCGTAGTCTACAGCATGAAGCAGCATTGATGGGTTAAGGGGAAGGAGAGCTGCCAGGTGAGGCAGGATCCAAAGAATCCGCCTGTTACCAAATACCCTGCAGAATGAAGAAGCTGCAAGCCACTGACTCTGTCATTGTGAGTCGGGAATGTAGCCTTTTTCTTTTGACCTACTGTATGAAATGGACTGTTGAATCCCGCATCAGTTTCTAGAGACAGGCATCTGCATCATGGGGATTGCCAATCCAATTTCTACCCAGCACTACCATAAGCTCAGTGTGACTTCCCTCCCACCTGTACAGGTTGCTCCTTGCATACTGGCAAGGTGGTGGGAAGTCAGCATTCACCTATTCTATTGATAGAAGCCTCTAGACATTCCCAAGCTGTTTGCCAGCATCTCCCACCAGCACTACCATCTCTCTAATATAGCAGAAAACAAATGAAATGAAAAACAACCCACCCATTCCCTGTGAGGCTGAGTAACCAGATTCATGATATATACTACACGGTCCTCCAAACCCTCCCTAAAATACTACTAATAAACATTACCTAGTTCTGATGTAGCACTTTTCATGAGCAGATCTTGGAGCAGTTGACAAAGGAGGTACCCTCTATTTACAGATGGGGAAAATGAGGCACAGAGAGGTGAAGTAACCCACCCCAAAGTCTGCCACCAAACAGTAACCAAGCTAGAAAGTCTCCTGAGAATTGGTCCAGTGCCCTATCCATTAGTCCAGACTGCCTCCCTCCCAATCAGTATTCCAGGGTTCAGAAAGGTAAAGTCAGGATAAGGTACAGCCTACCTGCCAGAGAGAAGTAGAGACAGGCGGTTGATGGGTGTCTTGCCTTCTAGGGCATAGCTCTGGTCTCTGGTCAGCGAAAGGACCTGTTCTTCACAGCATTTCACAATCTCTTTGTAGACCTGGAGGGGCACCTGGAGAGGCTGGTAGATGGTCTTGTAAAGAAGATCGAATTCTTCCAAGAAGGTGTCCTTACGGAGCAGGTAAGTCAGGTGAGCCAGCTGAAGCAAGCAGGCCATGACCAGCAGCATGTTCCAGATGAAGATATCCAGCCCACAGACATCCAGCCAGCCCCAAAGAGCATAGCAGAAGTAGCCAATGGCCAGTAGGCTAAATATGTAGATGGATCCAAAGATCCCACTTCCCCCCATGTAACCCAGCAGAAGGATGCAGCCAGCTAGATGATAGGCTGCTTCCTCCATGCTCTGCTTCCAGACTTCACATGAAAGAGGCTGAGAGAAGATCTGGTCCCAAAAAGTGCTGTTTCTACTCATCCTTTCCCAGTCTCCACCTGCCCCAGCCATCCTGGTTTAGAAATATATTGTCATACAAAAATCATACACAGCCAGCTGAAACCAGAGCTGCAGGGCAGCCCTGCGTCTCCTGAGAGCTCTTCAGACCCTCCACACGGTGCTTCAGAGCACCATTTCCAAATAACTTTCAATGGCTTTCTTTGCTCCCGGAGATACAGCTACTTTTTCTTTCTGCTGGTTCTGGGTGCAGGAACTGGTTCACTGGCCTCACCCACTAGCCGAGGCTGGAGAAGACAGAGTAGGCAAAGACAAGTCTGAACAGCTCAGTCAAAAAGAAAGCAAAGGCCTTTAGGTAGAGAACTCAGAGCAGGGGACTGAGAAGGGATCCTGTTGCACTCTCTCGCCAGTCCTCCAGAAGTGAAAATAGACACACACAGAGCAGCAGGGAGGGAGGGAGAGAGGGAGGGCAGGGGGGAAGTACAGGGAGCTTGTATTGAATTTGGAATGTGTTTCACTTGGCAACGGGTAGAAGAGAGACCCCAAAAGGATAACCATGTTTGGAATTGAAATCCAAGGAGTAAAAGCAGCAAGGGGAATAGGCAGGCACTGGCCACTTAACATAACTCAGAGGACTAGATAAGCTTAGTGCAGAGCAAGAAGGGGAAAGGGGCTAGTTTACTGCAGTATGTGCATGTAATATGGTTACACACTGGTTTTGGAGAAAAGGGTATTATTAATTGTGCCACAGATAAACCAAAACACTACCTCCGTTCTTGGGCTGTTAACTCATAGTAATGGGGAAAAGTGTCAGGAACTTTTTTCTGGTAAGGATACCTCTCAGACTGTGGCTTAGCCTTTCATGGAAAGTGATGGCAGCTCCACCATGTGAGACACTGAAATTTAGGATGAATGTCCACTTGGCCACATTACTTATGCCCTGGACAAACTACAGTAGATGAGCCATGTAATAGTAAGAGCTTTGCTAAGAGCAAGAGTTTTGCACGCTGATTCCATAGGAGGCCGGTGAAGCGGCATGTAGCCTCCTGCTCTGTGAGTGTGACCGAGCCATGAACCTAGATAGTAGAATGTTGTGATATGGGGGAATGTGGTAAACACCAGGTGCGTTGGATCACGAATCATCCCCATTTTCCTAGCTTGAGATAACGTTGTTTGCTTCAGACTATATAAGCTATGCATTCTTGGGTTGCTATGGGTTTCTCCGCTCTGGCAAGTGTTCCGACTTGCGTGGAGCCCCAGCACAGGCTATCACGTCCCTAGGATTGGGACACTCCAGGGCCAGGGGAACCATGTGGGGTAGCGGCTGCTGCCTAAGGCTGATGTGAGGTGACCATCCTCTCTACTCTGTTCTATTGCCTGCTTCTACAAGTATCCTTAAATAAAGCTTTGCACAGGTGAAAACAACCATAAAGACGTCCTTTGTTCAAGCGTGGGGAATCTGCTGAACCCAGTAGTTCATTCTAAGACAATTGGTGTCAGCAGTGAAATTCCCCTGATATTTAACATGAATTTATTTAAGAAGCTGTGGAAGGGGGAGGGAGAGGGATTGGAAAAAAGGATGCCGGGTTGACCCGACACTGGGTTGTGGTATGAAGTCGCAAAGGCACTCTGTAAATTGAGTTCATCTGTTTATTGGAGTAAGCAGGAGTGCCCTGTAACGCCCACTGAGGTGCAACAGTAGATTGAGGGAGTTTAAGTCTGAGGGGGAGAGCGGTGCTAGATGCACTGTCCCTTGGCTGCTCCTTATGGTGCTCAAATGTCTGAGCACACAAAATGCCCGTCTGCAGGAACAGCTCAATCAGGCTGTCCATTGGCAGACACATCTGAATTTGAAAGGTGGTCCCCTAAAGCAAATGTTGTACTGAATCTTCTCTTGCATCCTATTGTTGCTATTTGTATTGTAGCTGTATGCTTGTTATTGTGGACACGCTTTTTGTACGTGTGCATTCGGTCCCTCGCCCATCTGTGTAACATCCAGTGTATACGAACTGCTTAGGACGATTGCGAGTTAGACCTCAAATTCTTGGTGGTCTGTCTCGCAATCGAGGGGTGGACTGTAATAGTAAGAGCTTTGTTATTAGCACAGTGTGCAAAACTCTTGCTCTTAGCAAAGCTCTTACTATTATAGCCCACCCCTCGATTGCGAGACAGACCACCACGAATTTGAGGTCTAACTCGCAATCATCCTAAGCAGTTCGTATACGCTGGATGTTATACAGATGGGCGAGGGACCGAATGCACAAATACAAAAAGCATGTCCACAATAACAAGCATACAGCTACAATACAAATAGCAACAATAGGATGCAATAGAAGATTCAGTACAACATTCACTTTAGGGGACCACCCTTCAAAAATGTTCCACCAATGATGCACCGTAAGGTCATGCTTTGTTCAAGCGTGGGGAATCTGCTGAACCCAGTAGTTCATTTCTAAGACAAGACATTTGGATTTTTCCACCTTCAGGTACCACAAGGACACTAGAGGACATAACACTTAGGCCATTTGGAGAAGTGCCCCTGAAAAATGTTTCCTCACAAAGGATGCTCCATCCCATATGCAGAGGGCTCTGGAGAAAATAATGCATTTCCATGCTACAAGGAGTAAGGCACTGCACAGCTACAGGGTGCTGGCCTCTCATGCAAACAGATCTCCTTTTTTGGGTCTGTTAAAACAGCAGCAGTAACAACCATGATGCTAGGAAGCAAAGCTGCGTAGGAAGGGCAGGAGTACCCACACCAAGGAAAGTGGAACATCAAGTTTAAATGACTCAGAGATCCACAAGCTTTCATGATTAAGACAGGACATAATACTTAGCCCACTTGAAGATGTACCCCTGTGATCTGAATATAAAAGATCATGGAAGGGAAAGAGGTAGAGAAAAGGGCAGTGGGGGCAGTGCTGAGAGGGCAAACAAGTAATAAACCCATAGGGACAAAGGAGCCACAAGAACTAATCCAGAAAATGAGATAAGAATCCACAGTTCCTGTTTAGACCATACTTAATACAATCCAGTCTGTAGAGGATCTCCTATTCCACAACTTCCCATTTAAATTGGCTTTTAAAGCTTCACTGTTAAAGAACAGCTAATCTGAGGTCAGTGATGAAAGGTTAAAGAGTTATCCACAGACTTCTGTGTGTTTTTGGACTTCATAGCAGATGGATGTCTCCTTTCATATGGTGATTGCCCCTATGGCAACCTTGAGACATTTGTCATTTTCCAGGAGAGGTTAGGGATCATTAATCATGTGTCCAAGGTATGCTATGTACTTTCTTTCACAATATCTGATAAAACTTGCTCATGAAAGTTTATGCATCTCTCATTCATTTAGTCTCTAAGGTGCATCTCTACCCTGCTTTCTGTCTGACTTGGTCTCAATGTCATTAATTACCTCTCTGATCAAATCAAAATATTACAGCTCTCATTGTATATGCACTTTTCATCCAACACGAGAAGCGAGGGGATAGGGGCAGGGAAGGAGGGGAAAGAAACGATAGCACACTGCATCACACCACAAACACCTCTCCTCCCACCACCCACTCAGGTATCTGAAATATAACAATAGACTGGTGTCTACTATATATGACAGATTTTTATATTTTCCCTCCATCATTCCAGAATCGGAAAGATTTCAACCCCGCTGGAACTCAGTACTGCAAACTGCACTCAAGACTCGGGGAAAGAACCTGGGTGCTTTCTAGTCTGTTACTTATGACTAATTCAAGGGTTATAACATTTCTGTCTGGCAGTCCAGTGTCAACTTAGCTCTGGAAGAGTCAGCGGTATTCCATTACATCCAGATGACCAGTGATACAAGTATCAGCTGAGAACCAAAGGCAGGAACCTAAGGCAGGAACTCCAACTGTTGCCAGAAAGCAATTAACTTTTCAAGCCCAGATGCATCCTCGGAGATCAAAGTATAAATGCAAAGGACAACGGTGTGGAGTGAGGCTGGATGAGCTGCGGAACAGGCCTTTCTGGGAGGTAGGATTACATGGGTGGTTCTGTTTCAGGACAAACTTACAGCAGTCATTCCAGGCATACCGTTTGCTTTGGCACTAGTCATTCAAAAGACACGTGAGCAGCTCCTCTACTAATAGTTCAGGAACAACACAACACTCACTTGTGGCAAAAGCTAGAGTGAAACATTGCATTCCACTGAGGGGGAAAAAATCTGTGACATCAGTCACAGTCTTGGCTGGTAAAGAAAGAGAACACTCCCTTCCCCAGGAATCTGCTGAGAAGTGGGGATGCAATGGGCCTCCAGGTGTTCTCTCCCCCCTACACAAGGGCTTCATTTTATGAATCAATCTCTAGTTCCAGGAGTCTCACAAAAGGGAAAATACTCCTCCAGGCTGCTGGTGAAGGGAGGCCTGTTTTTTCTACCGCAGGGCCATGGAGCTGGCAGCATGCAGGGGTTGTTCCAGCCCCCAAGTTCCCATTTGGCCATCTCCCCCCACATTGCTCAGGCTGCAGCTGAAGCTGGGGATTCTGAGCTCCCATTCCCACCGCACCCCAAGGGACAGGACAGTAAAGTGCAGGATGGGCCCCAAGGCCAGAAGAGCCCACAGCCTAGGAGCTGAGAATGAGACCAGGGGCCTCCACAGTATGTGGCCCCCAGCCATTTAGAAGTTGCTGTATCCCTTCCTTAACTTCTGTTTTAGGCCCTGTGCCCATGGAAAGCTTTAGGCCACAATCTTCCAGTTTCTCAGCTGCCCCAAAGTACAAATAAGTAGCGGGGGGGATCTGCCCTTTCTGTATATCCATTAAAGTCGAGGTGGGACTTTGACCCACTTGTTCATGTGATGTAATACATGGACCTCAGGCATAGCCTGAAGTGAAGTCTGGTAAGCATCTACAGCCATGAATGCTAACACACGGAGCACTGACAGATGTTCAGCCCCCCTGCTCTAACTCATGGCTACATAAAGACATTTGCCTGTTGGGTTGGAGGGGGCAGGGGGGGAAATAGATCCTGCTTGCAGAAGCCCATGGAGCCACCCCTCTCCCCCAGCCCCCAAGCCCCAAGCTCCAGTGCTGTCAGCAGGAAGAGAGGGAGGAACAGGAAAATCGACCAGGTTTGCCTGGCTTGGGCTGGAGGAGAGGGGGCTGGGGGGAGCCACGAGGTGTGGGGGCTCTGATCCACCTGCCCCCACTCCAGCTCATGCCAGGCAAACTCCAACCCATAGTTCACTCCCCCTCCCCTCGTGCTGACAGCCCCAGGAGCAAGGCTGAGCTAGGCTGGGCTGGCTTGCATCAGCCCAGCCCTGATCATGCCACAAATTAACCCTAGGGAACACAAGGTCCCTAAGGCGCTCTAAAACGGAGTAGCCTTAATCTGATCCCTCATTCGATGAGGCTTAATTTGTCACACAACTGGCCAGTTTAAAAGCGCTCTGCAGCTGTGCATGTGTGTCACAGCATGGCTGTAGAGTGCTTTCA